TCAGACTCAGTAAAGTCCAATTCGATAAATTCAGACTCAGTAAAGTCTGACTCAATAATTCAGACTCAGTAAATTCTGACTCAGTAAATTTAGACTGAGTAAAGTGCGACTCATTAAAGTCAGGCTCTGAGTATAAAAGACGGTTAAATGAATTAAATAAGATAAGATAACACAGAAGTTTATTGATCCCGCAGGAAATTGTTGTGCCAGTCAAATGATTTCTTTTAGCACTTCCTGCTGCTGTCAGAAACAGTCTGATGGTTTTTATTTAGAGTTAAATCAAAGTTTATATAAAAATAGAAATCAGCTCATTTATGTCAACATTTATTATTTTAAAGAGGAATAAATGTTTTAAAAGTGTTTCAGATGCTTGAACTGATTTAAACCCCCGAGTTGGATCAAACTTGATTTCAGCTGAAACAGAATCACACTTTCTGCCTCAGGATGAGTTTGATGAAGATCAGTTTGAGGTTGAACCTTTGATCAGATTGAAGATTTATTGATCAGACTTCATGAGGGCGTGATCAGATGGTTCTGATCTCATGTTTGTGTTTGTTCTGATTTGTGAGACAAGTGAGAGATTAAAGTTTAATTTGGCCTGAAAATAGGAAGAGTTTAGAAACAACCAAACTGTTGGTGTTTTAAAGTCCAGAGGAACCAGAACTCAGCTGATCGGACCCATCACAACAAACCTCTCAGAGGAGAAGCAACAAATAAACTCTTAATAAAAGTTATTATTCGTTCATTTAAAATCTGCTGGAAGTTCCTAAACTCTGAGTTAAACGTCAGCTGATTAAAGTGAAACACTGAAGACAGATTAGGATTAAATCATCCCGAGTTTAAATTTTAAAAACTTTATTCAAACCAGGAAATCCTGGAATTATTTAAAAACTTTTTCAAGTTTTCTGATTTGATCCAAACGGAAATTTGTTGTAAACAACCAAAACAAAAAGTAAACATGGTTCCAGTTCTGAATGGGTCAGAACCAGCTGGAGATTCTGGTCTGCTGGGACAACTCAGGAAGTAAAAACTCCTGACTGGACCTGAGAGGTCCAGAATCAGACCTGATCCAACAAATCCTCCATGGGGTTTTTCCACAGACTGGATCAGAACCAGAGCCCTGACCCGAGAACCTCCAGCAGAACCATGAAGAACACGCAGCTTCACCCGAACCATCCTCTGATCTGATCACAACATCGATCTGATTGATCTGTAACGTCAGCAGGGATTTCAGGCCACACGCGCTCACGCGCGCGCACAGATCAATCCTAGTGATTGACAGCCACTCAGCCTCAGAGGAGCACGCTGGATCCGCAGCAGCGCACGGGCTGCGTGCATGTTGCGGTGTGTGAGTGTGCGCGCGCGGACTCACAGTGTTCCGGAGGTCCTGCAGCGCCAAGCTCATCCTGGAGCTCCGAGCCCGAGAACAGTGCGCTACGGACGGCCGCAGCTCCGGCCCATCCTCCCGGCTGTCGCTCCGCGTGTGGCCCGGTCCGTGGCCCGGAGAGTCCGCCTGTCGGTTCGGTGGCTCCTGGTCCGGCAGCTGCGGGATCCGTGCGGGTTCTGGTCCCTCCGCTTCAATCTGACTTCCCCCCGGCTCTCCGTGACTCCTCAGACCCCGCCCAACATCCAGCCAGCCGCTTCCTCTCACAAACAAACACACCCCGAGAACCACGGAGACTGACGTCATCCACACGGACCTACGTCATCTCCTCCTCCACATTATCTATCTATCTATCTATCTATCTATCTATCTATCTATCTATCTATCTATCTGTCTGTCTGTCTGTCTGTCTGTCTGTCTGTCTGTCTGTCTGTCTGTCTGTCTGTCTGTCTGTCTGTCTGTCTGTCTGTCTGTCTGTCTGTCTGTCTGTCTGTCTGTCTGTCTGTCTATCTATCTATCTATCTATCTATCTATCTATCTATCTATCTATCTATCTATCTATCTATCTATCTATCTATTTGTCTTTAATTCAATTAAGAAAAACTCAGACCCTCTGACTGAGTCCATCCTCGAACCCTGAGCTCCATCCAGGTCAAAGGTCATGTGCTCTTCTCTAAAAATAACATGGCAGCAAAACTTTGGTTTGGAAAGTTTCATCTGAAGGAACCACAAAACTTCTGGGACAGAACCAGACCAAAGGACAATTGTTTACCCATAATGCACTGCAGCAAACCCCTCTTCCCAGCTATCAGCATGGCGGTGGAGGCCAGGCTGATGGTTTGGGCTGCTTGCAGTCACTGAGTGGACCATGAGCTCCTCTGCAGCAGAACATGTCAAAAAGAACAGAACCAGCCCAGAGTCCAGAACCTGAACCTGCTGGGACCTTCAGAGAGCTGAGCAGAACTCTCAAAGAACTGAAGCAACGATGGAGAGAAGAGTGGACCAGAACTCCTCCACAAACACGAGAGAGTCTGATGAAGTCCTGCTGAAAACCACTGAGGGTTCTGCTGCAGAATGAGGTTCTGGATCAGGGACTGGACACAGTCTTTTACTGGTTCAGGATTATTTATTTATTTAAAAACATTTGAAATGTTTCAGGTTTGACAGAAAACTTTCGTCCTCAGCGTCCGATGGTCGGGGAGATCCTCCTGTCAAAAGTTGAAGATCATTTGGACTCTCTTCAGTTTGCGTATCGTTCACGTAGAAGAGTGGAGCACGCAACAGAAACTTTTTAAAATATGATTTTAGGAAACCTTGAAGGAGCAAACACATTTGTAAGATTGTTTTTTATTGACTTTCATCTTTTAACTCCACATTTTAGCAGAGAATTTACAACGTCTGTACGACTCGGGCCTCATGTGACGGCTGGTGGACTTTTTAACTGTTCATCTCAGCAAGTGAGGGTCAACGGGGTCATCTCTGATGTCCTTCTGTCCTCTATCAGTTCCCCTGGTTCTCCTCAGGGCTGCGTACTTTCACCCCTTTTATTCATTTTATACACAAACGATTGTCGCAGCCAGTTCTCACAGCGTCACACCTTAAAGTTTGCTGATGTCATCCTGTCCCTTGTCAGCAGTGATGACCCAGACCTGGACCTGTGGTCGAGGACTTCACTGAATGGTGCGAGTCGTTAAAGTTAAACGTTTCTAAGACAAAGGACAAGGTCATTGATTTTAGAAAAGGCTCTTTGGTTGCAGCTCCTGTGGACATTAACGGTGACGCTGTTGAGGTGATGCAACAATATAAACATCTGGGAACTGTTCTTGATGACAAACTGACCTTTGACCCCCATGTGACCTCACTTTGTAAGAAGGCCCCACCAGAGAATGTATTTTTTATCAGAAGCTCTGAGGTTTTAATGTTGATTCTACTTTTATGAGAGTGTTTTATTGAGTCTCTTTAGCTTTAACCTTCATCGGTTGGTTTGGATTGTTAACATGTAAGAGCAGGAACAAACTCTCGGGGATTGTCAGGATGTGCAGCAGAACTGCTGGCATAGCCCTACAGAACCTCACTGACCTACACAAGGTGAGGTCAGCGAACAAGGCCAGGCTGATTCTGGCAGATCCTGATCATCACTCCATGGTGAGTTCAGGTTGCTTCCGTCTGGACGCAGGTTTCTGCTGCCCAGATGTAGAATGAACCGACTGAAAACCTCATTCAGCCCTGTAGCGATCAGGTTTCTCAACGAACAAAGGTGATTTCTGTTATTTTAATGTCACTCTCTTGTACGAGATGAATATTTTGTGTTGAATGTGAAACAAAAGGGCCACTTAGGGATAAAAACGATTTTTAAACTTTCGACTAAAAACCAAGAACTGTCTTTAAACCCGTTCCTCCTGCAGGGTTCTGTCTGGGTACTGGCCTTGTTCTGTCCCAGACACCAAACTAACTCTTCAGGGTTCCTAAGCACGAGAACATCTGGGCTCACGGTGAACCTTAGTGTTTGATCCACCTTTGAAGAAATGTTCTGATCCGGTTTGATGACGTCACCCCATGACATAAGCAAACTAGGAGTTTTATGCAAATCTTTTCTGTTTCCTGGAACAGGTGCAGCTCCTCAGACCGGTCCAACAGAGGGGAAGACCGGAACCAGCTGAACAGGAAGTCCTGACCTTTTACACGTCAAAATAAAAGCCTGATTCAGATCAGCTGTGATTAGCTGAACAGTCCGAGGTCAGTCTGCCCCCTGCAGGCAGACCGTGGAGCTGCACGAGAACTGAGTCCACATCGTGGTCACATAAACCGCATTCAAAGACTTTAAACTCACATTTAACTTTGTTAAATTAATCCATCCTTTGATGGATGGAGTTGACTTTTTTCCCAGTTTGAATCTTTTTCATATATTTTTTTTAAAAGTTTGAAACTGTTTAGAAACTTTAGTTACTTCCCTTAAAACAATGTTGTGAAGTTTGTTAAGTCGGGTATTTTAATAAAAATGAATCCTGAATCTGGGATTCTTAAAAAAAAAAAAAAAGCAAGAATAAAATAGAAATGAAAATGTTTCTGTTAATAAATTAAAGTTTAAACTTGAATAAAGTTAAGCTTAAAACAAAGTAAATGTATACTGAATCACCATTTTTATTCTGAGACAAACTTTGAAATGGACTTTTTTCCTTCTGCAGTGATTTTTCTTTGAATCTTGTCTTGTAGCGCCCCCTGCTGGCTGTAGCCTCTCATTACAGCCTGAAGGTCTGAAAATTTTGAGTTTTTAACAACGATCAGTCGTTAAAAGATCGTTTAAAGTTGTTTAAAGATTTTTATGTTTTTTTTTTCATGTCAGACTTACATGAGACACAAATTAGACACAACTGTCTGGGACGTCCATCCTAAGGATGATTGTGGGTGACTGCAGGACATCTGTTGAACAGCTGTCTCAAGTCCATGAGTCCACTGTGGGACACCTGTAGGACACCAGTAGTATAACTTAAGAACATCTATAGGAAGACAGTAAGACACGTCAGATGACCTTAGGACATTTATAGAACACTTGTAAGACGACTCTGGGACACCAGTAGGACATTAATATGACAACTGTAGGAAGATTTGAAGACACCTGTAGGCCACTTTTAGGATGACTTTACGGTATCTGTAGGACACTTGTAATACGACTCTGAGACACCTGTAGGACACTTGCAAGATGACTCTTATACATCTGTAGGACACTTGTAAGATGACTCTGAGACACCTGTAGGACACATGTAGTACGACTCTGAGACACCTGTAGGACACATGTAGGACGACTCTGAGACACCTGTAGGACACTTGTAAGATGACTCTGAGACACCTGTAGGACACTTGTAAGATGACTCTGAGACACCTGTAGGACACTTGTAATACGACTCTGAGACACCTGTAGGACACTTGTAAGACGACTCTGAGACACCTGTAGGACACTTGTAAGACGACTCTAAAACACCTGTAGGACACTTGTAAGATGACTCTGAGACACCTGTAGGACACTTGTAAGACGACTCTGAGACACCTGTAGGACACTTGTAAGACAACTCTGAGACACCTGTAGGACACTTGTAATACGACTCTGAGACACCTGTAGGACACTTGTAAGACGACTCTGAAACACCTGTAGGACACTTGTAAGATGACTCTGAGACACCTGTAGGACACTTGTAAGATGACTTTGAGACACCTGTAGGACACTTGTAAGATGACTCTGAGACACCTGTAGGACTCTTGTAAGACGACTCTGAGACACCTGTAGGACACATGTAGGACGACTCTGAGACACCTGTAGGACACTTGTAAGATGATTTCAAGGCATTAGTAGCACACTTGTAGGACACTTTTGGAATGAATTTTAGATTTCTGCAGCTCACATGTGAGACACCTGTAGGACAATTGTAATATGACTTAAGCACATCTGTAGGATGACTGAAGGAGACCAGTAGGACACTTGTTGGATGACCTTAGGACATTTATAGGACACTTGTAAGATGATTCTGAGACAATCTGTACAATACTTATTTCAAGACATTAGGACATCTGTAGGACACCTGTGGGACATACACTGTGTGACAGATGGACAGGACATGTATTATTAGCTGTGGACTTGCTGCAGAAGGTTCTGAATGATTCTGATTCTTGGCTGAGAGCCTCAAGAACAAATGGAGTTTCAGAGAGGACAGTCACACCTTCAGGACATTTTTGGATCTGTTTGTGTCTGTAACTGGAGGAAGGCTTGTCCTCTGCGCTCAGGTCCACATTGTGTGTACGCACAGTTTCATACATCTGGGTGGTTTTGTGACCTTGTTGTTTTCTCACTTAAAGCTTACATCATGTTTCAGAAGGAAGTCTAAGTACCTGAGGTCCCTGGTTTGGTTTCAACTCCTCGGTTTTCATTGGAGGTCTAGATTCACTTTACTATCAATAGTAACTGACATGGTCAGATGGATTCTAAATTTCTGGAACACGGTTTTCAAACTGTAATCCATGATCTTTTTGGGATCTTTGTTCTGGTAGCCCATTTTCCTCTGGAGGTCCATGTTCCTATGCTGGTCCATATTCTTTTGGAGGTCCACGTTTCTCTGGAGGGTCACGTTCCTTTGGAAATCCATGTTTCTCTGCTGCTCCATGTTCCTCTGATGGTCCAAGTTCCTCTGGTGGTCCTTGTTATTCTTGTAGTACATGTTCTGCAAGTCCATGTTCCTCTGCTGGTCCATATTCTTCTG